TGCAAGGCCACTCAGCCATAGACTGAGGGTGGCCACCATTGATCCAAGGCATGACCCCACTCTCTGCTAACAGTAAACAGTTGCTTTTCTGAACCCTGAGTCTCATGCACCTTTCCCCCAGAAAGACACATGGAGTATATTACTGTTGCCAGTCTCGTTCTCAAATCCCACACACGATCCCATCTACTCTGGGGACTTCATCCTTGCTGTCCCTCCACCTGACATCCCTCCCTCCTGGCTTCACCCCTACTGTTGGGATCTCATCCTCTCAGCCCAGATGACCCTGGCTGCTTGCCTTGAATGTTCATCCTGCCTAGCGTATATCACTACTGCAGGCTATCTCGTTTGTCTAGTAGGAGCCCTGGAATCAGAATACTTGTCAATTTTGCTCATCCCTGACTCCCTATACCAAGAGTAGGACTGGTACATAGCAAGGGTTTAACAAATACTCCTGAGTAGGTGTGTGCCAGAAACTCAAGGTCCCACCTTGGTGTAGGAAAACAGTTCAAATTATAAGGTTTTCTTTAGAACCTATTGGTGGGTTTCTTTTTTATTGAGGCATAATCCATATATAGGAAAATCCATGTACTGCCATCTCATAGTATAGGGTATTGCCAGTATCCCTAAAAGTTCCCATGTCCCTTTGCAGTCACACACTCAAGGCCTAGCGGATGTAGATTATGATGCGCTAAAGTGTCCCCTTGGTGGAATCCACATTTGCAGACACTGAGTCTGTGTTTTTCACTGTGGCTGGGCACACTAAGGACTCATTTGTTCCTTCTCTTGGTGGAGTGGAGCTCACAGGGTGACTGGAGTTCAGCTATTCAGCTCTTTGCCAATTAAGATCCATTTATATAGATAACACAGCAATAAAACAGGCTCGCTTGGACCTGCTACTCCGCCGCCAAAACCACACTCTCGAGTCTGCATGCAGGACCCTTCCTTTCTTCCTTAGTCTCCACCTGTTGAAACACCTCCTTTCCTCTCCTCTCCTCTGCCCTTTCCACATGCCCTCTTCCCAAAAGAGGATTGGACTTTCTGCCTCACTAGAACATACTTGGAAAGTGAGGTCCAGGAGCATGGCAAACACTTCCAGGGCCCACAAAGTGGAATGCAGCAGAGCTGGGACTTGAAGGTGAGGTGTAGAGCAAGCTGGGGATAGGGTATGCCACTGGCTCAGGTATGACAATTTGCTGCTCCAAGGTGCTAGGAAAGGGGCTCTGATGGTCTGATCCTAAAGTGGAGTGATACCTGGATAACAGCAGAGCCCTGCCTGGGTCAGGTTCTCAAGAGGATTCCTTTCCACACCCATTGGCTGGTGCCTCAGCCTGGGGATAGTTCCGACTGTCTGGCTAGGCTGGTGTTGGTATCCAGAACCCCAGCCTGGCTGAACCAGGCCATCTGGCTGGGATTATCTGCCGAGGGCCCAGGCCAGTGGGTGGGCTAGTAGATTGGATAACAGGAACCAGCTGTGGATGGTTTATGCCCCGCCCAGCTACTTACAGTCACAGGCCCACTGAGGGAAATCAGTGAGTCTGCTTTTAGGGAGCTCTAATCAAGCAAGAGGGCCCTAAGTCACCCTGAGTCCTCAGCCCGGCTCTATAGACATGAGGGAAGCCTCATGGAACCTCGAGTTTCCTGTATGTGACACCTACCATGGGTAGGAGAAGCAACTTTGGCTCTCAAGTGTGGAGAGGTATCTAGAAAATTCTTTACTCAGAAGTGAACTTGCTGCTGACTAAGTAGAAGCTCAGGGCTCTGAAGTCTGCATCTAACCCAGGTTCCAGAAAGCGCATGCTAAGTGGAAGAGTCTATAAAGGCAAACCCGGTGGAGCTCTGTGCACCCTAGCCACTCATGGGCCCCAGCCAGCCACTCAGTAGTGTCCCTGGGGAGCTGAGGGAGGAAGCTAACAGACTGGAAGTTGTTACTGGGATCTCAGCAGACAGACTTAATAGTGGGATGTGCAGAGTGAACAGAAAAGAAATTAAGATTAAGGTCCAGGTTTGGGGCTTCAGGAGTGGGTGGGGCCATTCACTGAGACGAACAAAATGAGAGCCCCAGGGACATGGAGAGGCATGACTCAGAGGCCTGTGCTGGCTTCTGAAAAAGCTAGTGGTTTGGTTATTTCTCTCTCTACTCATTTGTTCTTGAGACAGGGTCTCAAGGTAACCCAGGCTGGCCTTGAATTCACTAGGTAGGTGAGGATAGCCTTAAATTACTCATCCTCTTGTCTATCTCCAAGTGCTGGAATTATAGGTGTGCTTCACCACGACCAATCTTAGAGACGCTTGTTGGAAACCTGTGTAGATATGGAGAGGCATCTAGGAAGAATTCCTCATAGGAAACAATAAGTCATGAGCCATGCAAATCCCAGGTGTTTGGAGCACTGAGCCCTTTAGTTCCTGGCCCCAGAGAAAGCCTATGGATTTTCTTAGAAACATATACAATCAACTAGGTCCGGTGGTACATGCCCATGACCCCAGCACTCAGGAGGCTAAAGCAGGAAGATTGCTGTGAGCTCAAGACAAATCTCCCAAGTGCTGGGCCAGAGAGCAAGACCCTGTCTCAAAAGGCCACACAAACACACACACAAGAAAAACTAAAGTCGAATCCCTTGGAAGAGCATATACAAATACTGTGGCTATAATCCAAATATTAAAGACCAAATTGACAGTGAAGTTGTTGCCTCATCCAGTGGTTGGTTGATAACTCCTATAATTCCATCGTCACACTGAGTGGGGGGGTGGGTTCTGTAAATATCGGGCTAAGGGTGTAAGCTTTCAGAATTTCTCTTTGTCATGGAGTCACAAGCCCGTTGGGCCAGTTCTTCTTTGTGGCCTGAGCTCAAGTTGATGGAAATGCCAAATTGCAATCACAAATCCATGTCCAATGTCACCTTGCACTCACTCAATGTCATAGACTCCTGAAATCTCTTTACAGACCATCTTGTCCCCTACTGAGGACCTGGCTTAGGGAAAGGAGGGATAAGAAGGCAAAAGTACCAAGACTGGACCAGGAGAGGAGGAGTCAGCAGTGCCCAGGCTGTAAAAGGGGGGTATTTTGGGGCATATGTGTGACCAGCAGCTATACTGGTGACAGTTTCAGTATGAAATAAGGGGTCAAGGAGATTGTGACAAGGTGAAACAAAGGATCACAGACAGGACTAGTGATACAGCCCAACAGATAGAGCCCTGGCCACACAAGCATGAGGACCTGGGTTTGGATCCCCAGAACCCATGGAAAGCAAGATGCAGGTAGCACATGTCTGTAATTCCAACCCATCTGCAAAATGGGAGATGGAGACAGGAGAATTCCCCCAGAAGCTCTTAGGCCAGTTAATCAGCAGGGGTGAACAAGAGACCCTTTCTCAAACAAGACAGAAGGTAAAGACCAACACTGAGATAGAGAAAATGGGAGGCAGCTGAAGGGGTTGGGGTCCTAGTTTTTAGATGGATCTGTGAGCACATATCCTCCCTGTGCTGCAAGACAGGCTTAGGGCCAGTGATGATGCAGAGGAAGAAGGAAGGGGAGGGCAGAGGTCGGGAGAAGCCCCAGGATGCTCTGCCCATCTTCTTTGTGTGCTCCACCTCAAGGTCTCAATTTTAGCTGGAGGTTTATTAAAGAACTCACAGCTGCCTTCCCACTGGTTCCACATTCAGTAGTGTTGGACCAGGTCTGGAAACCCATGTTTCTAACTCCTCCGGGGTGAGGCTGATTCACCATGGGCCACACTCTAGGCATTTCCAGAGCTCTCTCTATGTGCCACCGGGGCTTGGCCCTGGAGCATACACCTCCAAAGTGCTGATGGCGAGAAGAGATGGGTGGACAGAGGAGTGTGGGGGAATGAAGGAAGAATCAGTCTGAGTGAGCCAGATAGATTCCCCAGTCAAAATCCCCACCCCTCCCTGAGAGCCCTGACTTTCCAAGGGCCCCTTTGAGTGGCCCAAATGGATCCTAAGGAAGCCTGAGTTCTGGCCTGAGAGACAGAGGGACCGGGGCAGTGTGTGAAGCCAGGAGCAGTGGAGTGGCTCAGCCTGAGGGCTCACTGTTCACTTCTCCAACTTGATCTTGGCTTCTCAGCAAACCAGCACCATTGCCTCTCAGAAGGAATTATAGCCCTGCCAGAGAAAAGAAGCCAGATCAAGGGGTCCAGGGCCTTTAGATGCTGTGAGTTCTGCTCTATTTGGCAGACAGCAGTGCTAAAAGAAAGTTCAGTTTGGCAGATGGACACAGAAAACTGGA